GTTGAGAATGGAGAGCACATTCGCTCTGGTCAGTCTTACGCTGAAGTTGAGGTTATGAAGATGTACATGCCCCTCATTGCAAAGGAGGATGGTATCGTGCAGCTCATCAAGCAACCCGGTGCCACTTTAGAGGCCGGTGATATCCTCGGTATCCTCGCCCTGGATGACCCTTCCCGAGTTAAGCACGCTCAGCCCTTCACTGGTCAGCTGCCCGAGCTTGGCTCACCTACCGTTCTCGGTAACAAGCCCTCTCAGCGATTCTTCCTACTCCACAGCATTTTGGAGAACATTCTTCGCGGTTTCGACAACCAGGTCATCATGGGTACCACCCTGAAGGATCTCGTTGAGGTGTTGCGCAACCCTGATCTTCCCTATGGAGAGTGGAATGCGCAGTCCTCTGCGCTTCACTCTCGTATTCCTCAGAGGCTGGATACTCAGCTGCAGAACGTGGTTGACCGTGCCAAGGCCCGCAAGGCCGAGTTCCCTGCCAAGCAGCTCCAGAAGGCCATCGTTCGCTTCATTGAAGAGAACATCGGCCCTGCCGATGCTGAGATTCTCAAGGCCACCCTTTTGCCCCTGGTTCAGGTCATTAACAAGTACATGGATGGTTTGAAGTCCAACGAGTACAATGTCTTCATTGGCTTGCTCGAACAGTACTATGACGTTGAGAAATTGTTTTCTACCCATAACCTTCGCGACGAGGATGTCATTCTTAAGCTCCGCGAGGAGAACAAAGATGACATCACCAGCATTGTCCACATCGTCCTCTCACACAGCCGCATCGGTTCGAAGAACAACCTGGTGTTGGCCATTTTGGACATGTACCGCCCCAACCAGCCCCTCGTCGAGAATGTTGGCACACACTTCAAGCCCATCCTCAAGAAGTTGACGGAGCTCGAGTCTCGCTCTTCTGCCAAAGTTACCCTCAAAGCCCGTGAGGTTCTGATTCAGTGCGCTATGCCATCTCTGGATGAGCGCCTGTCGCAGATGGAGCACATTCTGCGATCTTCCGTTGTCGAGTCTCGCTACGGTGAGACCGGATGGGAGCACCGCGAACCTTCCTTGGATGTTTTGAAGGAGGTTGTTGACTCGAAGTACACGGTCTTCGATGTTCTTCCTCGGTTCTTCGTCCATGCTGACCCCTGGGTCACCCTCGCCTCCCTGGAAGTCTACGTTCGCCGTGCCTACCGTGCATACACTCTCGAGGGAATTGAATACAATGCCTCCAATGAGCAGCCCTTCCTGTCTTGGGACTTCACTCTTGGCAAACTCGGCCAGCGTGAGTTCGGTGTTCTTAACTCCACTCAGCCATCCGCACCGGGCACTCCAATTACGGAGGTCAACCCCTTCAAGCGGATCAACTCCATCGGCGACATGTCCCTCTTTGTGAGTGACGCTGCCAGTGACCCCGTGCGCAAGGGTGTTATCATTCCCGTGCAGTACTTGGAGGATGCCGAGGAGCTCCTCTCCAAGGCTCTTGAGGTCTTCCCTCTCGGTGGCTCCAACATCAAGCGCCCCATCGAGCAGGGCCTTATTGCCAGCCTTGAAGGCAAGCGTCGCCCCGGCCTCAAGCCTGTGAGTGATAGTGAGCTCACTGGAGTCTGCAACATTGCCATTCGCGATATCGAGGACATGGAAGATGCGGAACTTGTCGAACAAATGAAGCAGCTGCTCGCTGACAACAAGGATGAGCTCCTTGCCCGTCGTATTCGTCGTGTCACCTTCATCTGCGGCAAGCAAGGTGTCTATCCCGGTTACTTCACCTTCCGTGGGCCCCACTACGAGGAAGATGTGAGTATCCGCCACAGTGAGCCGGCTCTTGCCTTCCAGTTGGAGCTCGGCCGTCTATCCAAGTTCAACATCAAACCCGTTTTCACCGAGAACCGTAACATTCACGTCTACGAGGCTATTGGAAAGGGCGTTGAGAATGACAAGACTATTGACAAGCGCTACTTCATTCGTGCCGTGGTTCGTCCCGGCCGTCTGCGTGACGATATCCCCACCGCTGAGTATCTGATCTCGGAGGCCGACCGCCTCATGAACGATATCCTGGACGCCCTGGAGATCATTGGCAACAACAACTCCGATCTGAACCACATCTTCATCAACTTCTCTCCTGTATTCAACCTCCAGCCAGTCGATGTTGAGCAAGCGCTGGCCGGTTTCCTCGATCGCTTCGGCCGCCGTCTGTGGCGCCTCCGTGTCACTGGCGCAGAAATTCGCATCCTTTGCACCGACCCGGCTACCGGTATGCCATACCCCCTGCGTGTTATTATCAGCAACACCTACGGCTTCATTATCAATATCGAGCTGTATATCGAGCGCAAGTCCGAGAAGGGCGAGTGGATCTTCCAGAGCATTGGTGGTACCGCCAAGCTGGGATCTATGCATCTGCGCCCTGTCTCCACCCCGTACCCTACCAAGGAGTGGCTGCAGCCCAAGCGCTACAAGGCTCACTTGATGGGAACCCAGTACGTGTACGATTTCCCCGAGCTTTTCCGCCAGGCCTTCCAAAACAGCTGGACCAAGATTGCCGAGAAAATTCCTTCCCTGTATGAGAAACGCCCCCCTGTTGGGGAGTGCATTGACTACAGTGAGCTGGTCTTGGACGACACCGACAACCTTGTTGAGGTGTCTCGCGAGCCTGGTACCAACACCCACGGTATGGTTGGATGGATCGTCACTGCCCGTACTCCCGAGTACCCCCGCGGCAGACGTTTCATCATTGTTGCCAACGACATCACCTTCCAGATTGGTTCTTTCGGTCCCCAGGAAGACAAGTTCTTCCACAAGTGCACTGAGCTTGCCCGCAAGTTGGGTATTCCCCGTATCTACTTGTCTGCTAACTCTGGTGCCCGCATCGGTGTGGCCGATGAACTGATTCCCTTCTTCTCGGTTGCCTGGAACAAACCGGAGAAGCCCGAGGCCGGTTTCAAGTACCTTTACCTCACTCCCGAGATTAAGAAGCGCTTCGATGCCAGCAAGAAGAAGGAGGTCATCACCGAGCTCATCAACGACGAGGGCGAGGAGCGCCACAAGATCACCACCGTGATTGGTGCCAAGGACGGTCTTGGTGTCGAGTGTCTGAAGGGTTCCGGTCTCATTGCCGGTGCCACCTCTAAGGCTTACGAGGATATCTTCACCATCACTCTCGTTACCTGCCGCTCTGTCGGTATCGGTGCTTACCTTGTGCGTCTCGGTCAGCGTGCCATCCAGGTTGAGGGCCAGCCCATCATTCTCACTGGTGCCCCTGCCATCAACAAGCTGCTCGGTCGCGAGGTTTACACCTCCAACCTTCAGCTTGGTGGCACTCAGATCATGTATAAAAACGGTGTTTCTCACATGACTGCCACCGATGACTTCGAAGGTGTTGAGAAGATCGTTGAGTGGATGTCCTTCGTTCCCGACAAGAAGAATGCTCCTATCCCCATTCGCCCCTGGTCGGATACCTGGGACCGTGATATTGGCTACTTCCCTCCCCCCAAGCAGGCTTATGATGTCAGATGGCTCATCGGAGGTAAGGAGGACGTCGACGGCTTCCTTCCCGGTCTGTTCGACAAGGGCTCCTTTGAGGAGGCCCTTGGTGGCTGGGCTCGCACCGTTGTTGTCGGTCGTGCCCGCCTTGGTGGTATCCCCATGGGTGTGATCGCCGTCGAGACTCGTTCGGTGGAGAACGTCACCCCTGCCGATCCCGCCAACCCAGACTCCATGGAGATGATCTCCACCGAGGCTGGTGGTGTCTGGTACCCCAACTCGGCCTACAAGACCGCCCAAGCTCTGCGCGACTTCAACAACGGCGAGCAGCTGCCCGTCATGATCCTGGCCAACTGGAGAGGATTCTCCGGTGGCCAACGTGACATGTACAACGAGGTTCTCAAGTACGGTTCGTATATCGTCGACGCTCTCGTCAAGTACGAGCAGCCCATCTTCGTGTATATTCCTCCTCACGGAGAGCTCCGCGGTGGATCTTGGGTCGTCGTTGACCCCACTATCAACCCCGACCAGATGGAGATGTATGCCGACGAAGAATCCCGCGGCGGTGTCCTCGAGCCCGAGGGTATGGTGAACATCAAGTACCGTCGCGAGAAGCAACTGGACACCATGGCCCGCCTTGATGCGACCTACGGCGAGCTCCGCCGCTCCCTGGCTGACACCTCCCTTACCCACGAGCAGCTCAGCTCAGTCAAGGCAAATATGGCCGCCCGCGAGGAACAGCTCCTCCCCGTCTACATGCAGATTGCACTTCAATTCGCCGACCTGCACGACCGCGCCGGCCGCATGCAAGCCAAGAAGGCCATCCGCAAGCCTCTCCAGTGGGTCAACTCCCGCCGCTTCTTCTACTGGCGTCTGCGCCGCCGTCTTAGCGAAGAGACCATCGTCAAGCGCATGGTTGCCGCCTCGGCACCCCCTGCCCCCGGTGCCGACGCTTTCGGCGAGACTCCTCGTGCTGCGCACCTGCGCACCCTGCACGCCTGGACTGGTCTGTTGGACGAGGAACTCGAGCACAATGACCAAAAGGTTGCTGCTTGGTACGAGGAGAACAAGAAGGTTATTCACAGCAAGGTTGAATCTCTGCGCACTGATGGCGTCGCGTCTGAGGTTGCTCAACTCCTTATTGGGAACAAGGAGGGTGGTCTGCGCGGTGTGCAGCAAGTGCTTTCTATGTTGCCTGTTGAGGAACGTGAGAATGTGCTCAAGTATCTCGGTTCTGCTTAGATTCGTTTGCATATGTTTTGGACAGAAACATCTATTATGACTTGATGGTTTTTCTCTTGGTTGGATTTTTATCTTGTTAGAGATTGCATGGTGTTTTCTTTTTGGTTTTGGATCCTCTTATATACGACTACGGGGTTGATCTATTCAATTCTAATATTCAATACAATATTCAATAAAATCAAGTTCTCTCCATGATTAACAGAAAGAAAGGAAGTAAACAACAAACAGTAAGCTACTATGCGATATGATTCTAGTCAAAGGTATTTCAAGAAACTCAACACCTTCTAACCGTGTGACTTCTTCATGCGGACATCCTTCCAAGCTCCAACGATAACGATTCCTAATATCATCAGGAACAAAGAGATCAGGATGAAGGTTGTCGCAACCATGCCACATGCTTTCTGGGAACTCTCCCGTCGCTCTCTGCGTTCCTGCTGCCGATCACATTCCGCACAGTGAGTGTGTTGATCCAGCTCACCAGCCGCTGTCACTTCGATGGGGGCGGGCACGCCATGAATGTGGAGACCCTGTTCCACGTCTCGGGTTTCATCGGTGGTATCGTCTGTTTGACCGACCATAGCATACTATTCATTTGGGTTGATTAGCATGTTGATGGAACCATCTGGACTTTATGACCCATCCCTTCGGGTGAGTAATGTACTTACACCATTTCGTGAGCTTGAGCCGCGCTCATGAAACAGGTCATCATAGGCTGGAGCTGGTTCTATAGGTGTTGATTTACCCATAGTAGATGATGTTGTGTATTCTTGTCTGGTATGTGTTGTTGGTGAGATTGAAGGGAAGCGCAACGTCCAAGTATTAGGTGGGGCTGTGCAACGGGATCGTCGGCAACTCCAATTCGTCGGTTTGGTGGGTTTGGCCCGCATTTACGCCACAATGCGCTCATCATCGTATGTGGCTGTACATTTATTGTTCTGAACAGACCAGAGCTAACTACCTCATGAGTCGACAATTCCCTAGCAATTCTGAAATGAAGTCAGAGGAGTAGCTGCTTAGACAGACCATACAGGACTGCTGACTCGATATCGATTGAAATTGTTAATATTAGACTGTTTCTCTTCGATCCCACACCCGCACTTTGGTAGAACTCGACTCAAAACAGAATATTTACATAGTAAACTCAAGCAAGTTTCCGCCAAAATCCCGAGCGAAGAACCGTGTAGGATATTCTTTCCCTTGGGTCCCTGTAGTTGATCAGCAAACCGTACGCGGGAATGATATCAAGACATCTCTCACCTGAGTTCGCCTCGCCAGGCTTATCGGCAGCCATTGGGGCTGCAGGACCACCCCGCACGTGATGGTTATAAATGCTTGTCTTAATCTCTTCTAGTTCCTCACGGGAAGGCAGTTTGAAGCATGGGTGCCGGCTAGCTTGGGGATCGGTCGCACCATGGGTAATATGCACTTGCTGTCCACTGGAGCCGATATTGAACCTGTTGATATTAGAAAATGAGGTTTTTTTTTCTTTTGGAAATAGCTCGCTTCAATACCATAAGATTGTCCCCTTCTGGAGCTCCGGTACCGGCGCCGAAGTGAGTCCGAGGGTAGTCCCGTAGAACTCCTCGGCTTGGTCTAATGTGCCCTGAGGGATGGTGAGATTGATGTGGGCGATTCCAGAAATCATTGTAGGATAGTAGGATAGAGGATATATGCGATGGTGTGTTGAGCAAGAGCCGGTATATATTCAAGTCGCGCGGGAATCAGTTTCCGTGTCGGATGAGAGATGCAAAGAGATAGTTGACGATGGTATGAGATGTGGAAGTCTTGTTAGCTCACGAAGTTGAATGTAGTTTAATAAGATTTCCAGTGAGACCCTGGAAAAATATCCGAATGAATTCCCCGGGCAATCGGCACAAAATAAGAAGATTGCCCCTCTCAAGGAGGGGGAGAGTTAAACGTCGGCTTTAGCCGATCGGGGAGTTCTGCTTTCAATCCCCGGTCTGTTTGTTTAACAATCCGCGCCATCCTAAGTCTTGGTGTTTCTTTTTATTGAAAAATTCCGATGTGCCACGGAGCATCTTCGTCTGGGGAACATCTCCAGGGTTGCGTGTGTGCACAGCTATGTTTCATAGCCATGGGTGATGCTTGAGTGTGGAGCAATCCATGCTGAGCCAGCTAAGCATGAAATGAAAAAGGTTCGCAGGAAGCTAAGTCTTGATTTTCAGAATTTCAGCTCGGAACATGTGTAACAATGACAACTTGGAAAATATGAATCAGTGGTGCTGTCGTGACGCCCTTCTTGGTGTGCGATTACCGGGCAAGATATTGACAAGGCCATATAGATAAGATATCATATGCAAGCCCAAGATTCATCGGGGACCGTTTCGAGCAAAATAGTCATCTATGATCATCTCCGCCGCCTTTTCGGCAATCGCGTATACGGTGGCTTGGATGTGTGCCCCAACCTGCAATGGCATGATGCTAGCATCTACAACCCGCAGACAATAGACGCCATGCACCTGTAGCATATCATTCACAACTCCAGCATTGGTCCCATCTGCTTCACCCATAGCGCAGGTCCCAACCGCTATACGCATATTTAGTGATTTGCTGGATGAATCTTGGAGGGGAAACATACGATGCCAGTCAGTGACAGTATAATTTGAGACAAACTCTTCGTATACTTTCTCTTCAGAGTCTGCTTCCTTGGCAGGGGGAGGAAAGACTCGACGACGAATGAGTTTGGCCAAGGGCTTGGTTTGGCAGATTCGATCTCCCCACCTGAGTGCTTTGGCCATGACCTTCTTATCAATCTCCCCAGGCCCCAGAAAATATCGCGGATCAATCACGGGTTTATCATCAATTGTGGCCTTTTCATAATTGTGTTCGCCCATAGCAGGGATATGGATAGATCCGCGCGAGAAAGGGTACTGCAGCATTTGCAGCATTGTGGCGTATTTCTTTCCTGGCTCAGAGACAAAATATGGGCTCCAGTTACCAAGGTCGAACAGATATTCGATTTGACCGCGCGCATGACCGTACTCGAATTGGCCAGCCAGAATAGCGTCATGTGTCCTTCCTGTCTCTCGCGCGATTTCCTTGGCCTGGGTGTGTAATTCATCACATTCCTTGGGCGATAGGATCTTCGAAAGCGGACAGTACGCCACTGAACAGGGCATCACAGTCCAAGGCCCAGCTTGAGAAGCGTAATACGCGCGGTCCGCAGCTTCGCGCTGAATGGGGTCTTTGAGGATGTCATCTCGGGTTGGAATCGTCGAGGATATTTCGAAGATGGTAGCCGTCACTTGAACACGTCAGCTCAGATCACAAGGAACACTGTTTATATTCCATACTCATATGCTCCTGTAGATTCTCCCCTACGTTGGGACTGTGGACTTTCATCTCAATTCCAGCAGCTCTTAACACTTCCTGATCGCCAATACCAGATAGCTCTAGAAGTTGCGGCGATTGCACGCTACCGGCACAGACGATTGTCTCTTCGTATGCTTTGATGTTTGCTTCCAGTCCATTCCAGCGTACTCGGGCCCCTGCTGCGTACCAATCATCATTGTCGCAATTAAACAGGATCTCCATGGCAGTTGCTTCAGTCAGTATGTGTAGGTTTGGGCGATTTGAGATGGGGTGGTAGTATGCAGAGGCAGAGTAGCTGCGCTCCTGACTATCTGGATCAATTGTGCACACCATGTTCCAGACACCTGTATTATCGCCAGCCAGGCTATCGGGCGTGGATGGAACCCCGAGATTATTGAGCGTCTCATGCCAATATTGGTGTGTGGGACCATACTGCTTGGCATGAGTTGTATGAAGAGGGCCCTTCGTTCCATTAGCCTGGGGATCATAGGAAGACTGATAATATTTCTGATGAGCGGCACTCGGTGGGTGGAAATTCTCGCTGCGGCGGAAAAAAGGCCTGGAAGGAATTCAGCATCTCACAGATCAGCGGGTGAGATCCAAGACAGAGCGCGAATCCCAGAAAGCTGGTCCTCATACAGTAGATCTTCCCATCCCCATCCCTCATTCCCAAGTTCCGCCCAGGAATCATAGTCTTTGCGATGACCCCGGTTCCAGGCCATAAGATTGAGCGCACTTGTGCCGCCTAATATACGGCCTCGTGGCCATGGTAGTGATCTTCCTCCTAGGCCCGGCTGTGGGGTAGTTTCGAATTTCCAATCGTATTTAGAGCCGATGGTTTCGCCATACCGACCAGGAACATTGATCGCGCCATTATCATCTATGTTCAAGACCGATGGGCCGGCTTCGATGACTCCCACGTGGAATCCAGTGTCCTCGGTGAGGCGTGCAGCAACAGCTAGACCTGCGGTACCTCCGCCTATAATCAAGTAGTCGAGGTCGAGGGCAGCAAACTGCTGAAGGGTCTCATTACCCATGGTTGATGAGGGATAAGAGGGAAAAACCAGAAAAGTCTCGTAATCGGGCTGCTTTGCGCTCGGCCTTGGGTGCCAAGCGACGGGACATTTTTCAATTTATGCTGGGTTGTCGTATGTACTCGCTCGTACTTGCGGGATACAGCAAAACCCAACTCTTCCCAGCCTCTCACTTCGTCATATATGACAATAGGTACGGAGTAATGCCCTTGGAAAAGATATTATTCGCTATACAGACCAGCGAGAGTTTGTTCGGCATATGGAAGAGCGAATGAGGTACCTTGAACTGAAGCAGGCATTGCAGCGCAGATTTGGATGGGAAGAATCTAGTACTTGGAGGACATGGCGGATTGAAATCTGGGCATATCAAAATAATTTAAGCTTAAAATTTTTAAGGCTCTAGGTACTTCCCCTGGAGCCCCGGGGGCTATTTGCTGTATCCACGGGTCTAAACCGGCTACGTCATCGTATATATGGTGGAGAACGATGAAATATTGCGAACCCCCACCTCTCTAATTTGCTTTCTGCGACAACTCTGCATTGCTTGTTTTTGAAAATATGACTGCCGTATCATCCACAGTAGACCCTCTCAGTGTCTTGCCCCCAGAGATTGTCCTGCAAATCTTGCACTTCACCCCCATTTCCGGTCTTGCGTCCCTGACCGCGACCTCCAAGGCTTGGCACCAATTTATCGACGGCACTCACCAAGAAGCTATTTATGGATCCGAAGCTAAAACAGTCCAGCCGCTTGGGGGTAGCCGTGAATTCTCCTTCCTCGCCGATACCCACAGCTTTAGCAAAATATTCGAGGGCACGAAATCATGGAAAGACCTGTGCAAGCGCCAGACACTGCTCGCCCGTAATTGGGCCCAACCGCATCCAGTCAGTCAGGAATCGGTGGTACAAATCGGTAATGATCCCATTTGGAGATTCCGTGCCGACTTCAAGCGCCGGTTCTTCATTTCCACTTCCCATGGTGGCGGATTGAATGTCACTGATATGGACACGGGCCGCCTCCTCTGGCGACTCCCTTCCGTGCTAGACGCCGAAGGAGACGGAGACGGAGTTCGCCCACACGCACACTTGGAGTATCAGGATGGAATGGCCGTGTTCGATAGTGAAGGAGATTTGCTCGAGGTTTGGCAGACGGACCTTGAAGGTGCTAAGCGTGGAGAGTTCCGGCGTATCGCTACATTGTGCCATGATTGCCACACGAGAGGGTTCCAATTGTCCTATTGGACTCTATGTGTTGTCTCCAACGAGGGTCGGGGGTTTGTGTACGATATGACACAGCGACCTCCCAAGTTGACCACCGACCTGAGGATTGAGGGGGGTGGCATTGGCCATCTGGATCAAAGCGAAGATATTGTGATTTATTCGATGGGCTCAAAAGGCTATTTTGCCCACAGCAAGGAATCCGGTGCACTCTTAGGCAATTTAAAGCCGTCCCAGTCGACCGAAAAATATCACATCCTTCCTCCAAAGACCGCCTCTGCTTCTACGAGTGCAGCATTAGCAGGCGCTGCGCGACTTGGCCTAACAACTCAACCCCTCACACCCGGGGCTTTCCGAAAAGATTGTTTGGTACCAATTGAGGTCGCTGAAGGTCCACTGTCACCACCGGATGACCCGGATCATGTCTGGCATGGGGATGATGAATGGGGGGCGGGAATGTTGAACGGCGATCTCTTCGTGGGCTTCTCTCGCGCTGGCCGTGTCTTTATATGCCCCGACTTCCGCAAGGCTCTCCGTGATGAAGCTAGTCTCGCGGCGAACAGCTACATTCTGGAATGTCAATCAGACGGGTCAAGCTTTGACCTTGGTGGTTGGTTATCAATCCGCAACCACCGTGTGATGTTCGAGATTCAAGATAGGATCTATGTCGTCGCCCTTGATGACAATAATAGGGTTCAAAATTTGAAGAACCCTGCCCGTGCCTCATACTCGCTGCTCACCAGCTCCGCACCACAGCTTGCTGTGCCGATCAGTTACATGGCGTTGGCTGATGATGCCATTATGACTACCTACACCGTGAGTTCCTTTTTGACTTCTTTGCAAAAAGATAAAAACAGAACGGCTAACACCGGAAATTGCAGACCCTCGGCTGGCGCGACTCTAACGTTCCAGGCGGAATACCTGGCGGAGAAATTCCTCGTGTCTTTCCTACAAAAGTCATCCGTATACTCAGCCTGGCCCCTAACCTCTCTAAACAATCCTCTGCCTCCGGTGACACGGATGAGCCTTCAGCAGTGGATAGCGCAAGCCTTGGTGGCCCTGGCCCAAATTTGCCATCTTCAGATGCCTGGCGCACACAGGCCGGGTTGTTACAGCTGCTTAGCGTCCTTTCCAACGAGACAGATCTCGAACAGAGCGATGGTGAAGATGAATGGGAGAGTATGGATGAGGATGAGGAGGAGGACGAGGAGGAGGAGGAGGAGTAGAATTAGCACGAGCAGCTAGATGTGCCTGATAGGCCCTGGAGTTGCCTTTGACTAGCCCCAACGCAAGAGAACTCATTGGTGTGGAGGTTTTGTGTCTCAGTGCCTTGTCACATCGATATCAGACGCCGAGGATCATGCACTCTACACAACTAATTTACTAGACCCCATCATATCACCGACAGCTGTTCCTCTCAAGGCGCATACGTTGCAGAATCCTCAATGGAGGACGATACAATGTGATCCCATGGCATAGGCGATAGACAACTCAAAAGCTGGTTTAATTTCAGTACAGCCAACGAAACCCCCTTTTGCCAGGAATATTATTTTGACGAGGTGAATAGGTATTGAAAATTACAGGCGGACAAAATTAGTAGAGCATTGTCGACAATATCTAGAGATCCTAGTGATCATCATCAAATGTGCGTCATGATACAAACACAAAGTGGAACTATGGATATCAAGTTGGCAGGTCCTTTTTGGGATAAGGTTGCGTTAAGTGGGTCACGCCAAGTGGGTCCGTTATGTCCGTCATAGAACAAGGTGGTCTGCATTGATCACAATCGGGGGTTTGATTCTCTAAGACCCAAAGTCACTAGGACCCAAGTCCACGGTTATTGTCTAAAACTACGCCTGTTGTCAATCACCTTTCTATACTCTGGATGAAAATTAGGGAATGTGTATATTGAAGAGGGGACCCTAGGATAGGGGCACCGACAACCCTGCCTGCGAAACAGGTGTGAGAGCAGAGTCGTCACTGGGAGTAGTAGGGTGCTAGAGAGGAGAACACCATGGGGTGACTACTGAGAAGAGAAGTGGAAGGTGTCTGCGTTGCTAACTATCTATATAGCCGCTTAGTCATCCTACTCTGGAAACCCCCACTGCAATATATATATATACTCTAGAACTTCGGTGGCAGTGTTATATTTGGCAGCCATATGTCTTTTACTCCATTCACAGGACCAAGGGCGGTTGGAAATGCCCGTTTAATGTACAATTGTGACATGGAGAGGAGATTAATTACTAAATCAACAGAGAAACAAAGACATAAATACACAATGAAGGGTACAATTACATGACTCCAGCTTTGTGCAGACGCGGAAATCAGGATGCTTTCTTCAAACATAAACTGGCTTCACACTCAATCAGAGACTCCTATTGGCCTTACAAATTCCCCTGAAAACTCATAGAAACCGAATCATTTCCCCCAAGGCCAAATAGACACATTGCCCATCCCCTGACACACCTTAATTTGCCATATGATCTTTGCGATGATCTTACTCCGCCTGGCGGCGGATGTAAGCAACAAGGTCAGACCTAAAGGGAGCAGTCCCAATTTCGCGCAAGTCCCAGAATTCATGGCAGACGTATTCATTTCTGATCATGTTCTGTACGCGAGTGGAGTTCGGGTTGTGGCTAGGCGAACTAGTCAGTAAGCAAGATGAGGTGAATACAACATCAGAATAAGACTTACCGCCCATGGTTTGGTTCATCGACAACTCGATCCCAAATAAGCATAGCAGGCCGAGCAAAGTCAACAGTGATCTCCTTTAATGGAAGAGCCGGGCAGCAAGAAAAGAGAATACAGTCGTCGTCAATTTCAAGCAAAGCCTTGGGGTCCTCCAGAACCTCGCAGTTATACTCCGCAAGAGCCCAGGTGTCAACGGCGGTGTAGCGAGGATCCTGGGCATAGCATTTGATCTTTTTATCTGTCATCTTTCCAATAGACTCTTTGATAGTGATCATCATGGAATGCTGCATGGCGCTACGATAGGTGCAATCCTCATCGTCGGGACCAAATTCCATTGATCCAGATGCGATACCGACAATCTTGGTGACTTTACGAGGGGTGACAAGCTTGAGGAGGGACTCGAGCTTCTGGAATTCAGTGGTGTGCTTCCATATATCCAGAATATTCCGGAGAGTCACGTCCACAGGTACGGGGTTCTCAATGTACTCGGTGGAGATGGGCAGCTTGGTGTCGCTCGCGCGTGTGAGCATAAAATGCTCAATTTGCAATGGAAAAAAGGCTTCAACCAGTTCAATGCTCCCCAACTTCACTGACGAAGTGAGCTGCTCATAGCAAAGGTATCGGATCTTTGGTTCCTCCCTGTTGTGGTGTGGATGTGTTAGCTGGGGTCATGTGCCAGAAGAGCCCTGGATGGCAATCATTAACGAATTACATCTCCCAGTCTTCGTTCTTCCCTGCTCCTATGAGCACTCGCCCAGTAATCACTTGGTAATAGATAGTTGAGCCACTGAGGCCCTTGACAGAGACCAATTGCTTTTGTTCACTGTTCTTTTTTCGTGTATTGTAGCGACGATTGAGTTGGTTGGAGACGGCTCTCAGGTTTTTCTTCGTGAAGAAAGGCTTATCACTGTCATACAACGTCTTGAGAAGCTCGATGGCTCGATCCGGGCTGCATGGCCATTCTTTGAGGGGCCGACTGCCCAGCTCGGGATCTCCATGGAAAGTGTGCAAATGATGCATCGTTGAATCCTAGAGCCAAGCGGAACCGCTGAGGTATGACCGGATTCAAGGAAAGACAAGATATGAGAGTTATGAGATTCAAGAAGTTTTTGGTAAAATATCGAAGATGAGAGAAAAGAAGAAGATAGAGATGAAGGAACGAATGAGAGAAGAAGTAAACAGAGATGAAGGAACGGACGCGCTGTGACGAAGACGCGTTTGCCTCGGGCGGAGAAAGAGTCGATATCGTTGTTTACATAGAAATTCGAAGATAGACAGAAATGGCGAAACCTTTCAAGTCACGAGCTATTGATAGGTCATTTCCTATTTTGGACCAGAGAGCATGAAAGAACAATGCACCAATATGGAGGAACATCAGTCCTATCAATATCCCTTGAGACAATGCCCCATAGATAGCCAACAAATTATGAAGTCCGTAGAAGTTATATAGAAATGTAGATCAGTTGGCTTGACGGGCGTGATTCATAATGAGCTACCTTTCAACTCATGACATTCTATAATCCTTTTTCGATCCTCTTTGTTCTCCATTGAGCATTTTTAATAGCTCATAGAAACAGATGCATGTAGTGAATCCCATTCTCTTTCTGTTTTTTTCTCTCTGTATACTTAGTTCACTACTTCTATTGCTCTAAATACTGATATAAAAGGCTATGTGGTCTTCATCGGGATGTTCCTCTGCAAATGATTAGCTAATGTTTGAGTCCTGGATTCGTGAAAGCCTGTGCAAAAGTAGAAATTCTGGCTTGAATACAATAGGGGATTTGATATACCATGGCCTGTACAATAGCAAGGGCATATATACAGAGGAAACGGGCCCAGAATTAGGAATATAAAAGACGATTGGATGTCTACGGGTGGCCGCCGCCATCTATTAGCTAATGGTAGCTAATAAATAACTGCTAACTACCTAGGAGGTTCCAAGGTTGGAACGCAGTCAAAATTATCAGCTATGTCTGCCTGGCGTTTCATATAATTTATTAAGATGGGAGATTCGGGCCTCTCTGATATGGTGTTAGGCATTGCGGTTGCAAATGGTAATAGTACACGCATTCTAGTTCAAGGGCCACAATGATCGTAAAAAGGAAGGGAAACCACTGGGCAGGGTTGATACCATGAAGCCGACGGTCCGAGTTAGCACTAGTCTCGAGATCAGTATGTTCTCAATGGCTGTGTTGTATCTACTTCCAATCGAGAATAACCCCTTTCATGAATACTGCTCTTCGAATAATTCACGTCAGATAATTTTTATAGCGGGTGAACAAAAATACAACAAACATCGCTCCATCATGGGTATCCTCAACATCCGTAAAACATAATCATATAACAAACCGACATACTCAGGCCAATATGACATGAGTCTCAAAAACTTATTCCCATAATCTAGATTTTCCAAAATCTGGATAAATCAAGCAAGTTGTCGTTCGACATTGCGGGGCCCAGCCAGAAGTGACGGCGGAATTGGAGGGACTGGGCCACTGTACACAGGCCCATGAGCTTCTCGGGAGCCGGGAGGGGGTGGAGGCGGAGGTGGAGGACGTCCATAGGCTGAATGGTAAGGCTGAGGGGGAGGATAATGATGGGGATAGGGCGGTACAGGCGGACCGGGAGAACCTCCAGACCCAAAAGCCAAACGGCCCAAGTCTCCTGGAAGCCGCTGGGCTTGGTAGCGGTATTGAGCAGACTGTGAGGAGGTAGGGTCGACGTAGCTCATGGATCGGTTCGGGTCGCCGGGAAGAGAGACGACCGAGGCGCGGAGCGTGCGTGCGATGTCATCGAAGGTGACCTCCATAGGGGAAATATAGGTGGTGTTGCTTTTTGCGGACCAGGCGAGAACATGGCCGCAAACACGGCCGGTGGGACGGTCGAAGACCCATGCGCCAGAGTCGCCAGGCGCTGTCGAATCAAGAGATTAGCTTCATGAAATGCTTACTCGATACGAGCCGATGTCTTAGGGTGAGATGGTGCTGTATGTTTACCAGCTTAGAAGGGCAACAAATGATGGGCGTGCATGAAAAAACAAACAAGGGTATCTAATTAAGGATCGTATAGACAAAAACATGGATCCGCTGAAGTGCACCTCTTACCTCCAAAATTCCCATTGACGGAAAAGCTGGTTGAAAATGAATGTCGTCCCTGAAGTTTGACCAATGTCATAGCCTTGGATATCTGCCCTGTTTGCAGTCCACTTGTGCGGCCGCAGCAATGAACTTGCAAGCCACCTAGCTCCTCCATCCGGGCTACTTGGTTCAGAAATATGGGTTGTGGCGGGATAGGGCGTCCCGGCCGAGCGGCACTGGATCTAGTAGTGTCGAGAACGATGTTGCGAGGGTCCATACGGGCTTCATCGACTTTGATGAGCGCCCAGTCAATTTCATGTTTCAGGCCCTTTCGGGTCCAGCGCCGTACTCCCGATGATGCATGTACATAGCCGAGGGAATGTGAGGCTAGGTGCTCGTCATCACGATCTTCTGGAGATGGAAAAAAGTCTTCGTGTACATCGTCAATAGCTGGCTGAGTGACAAGCAGCCGGGGTTCTTCGCCAGGTTCGATACCAGCAGTATCGCCGATGGACGCGGTGTCACCGTCATCGTCATCGGGGCCGACGGAGTCATCATCTGATGAATCTTCATCTGAAAGCCAGAATTCTTCATATCCAGACTCAAGACCGTGTGATGGATCGTCCTCGTCCTCCAGATCGGAAATTTCGAAGTCGAAGTTCACGTCAGATGAGTCATCCTCTGGATAGTCGTACGTGAATCCAGGATGTGGGATATTTGATATATCACGGGGCCAGTTCCCCGCGGACCGAGAAGGGGCATCTTGATTTGAGTCACTGCCTTCGCTCTCATCTTCGCTAGGAGCTTCTAACATGTGATGAACTGTTAGACCATACGGCAAGCCATCGACAAAGACGGCACCACCATATGAGACAGGGGGTAAGTGCTCTTCGTTCTGAAAGGCGCCGATAGATGCTCCGCACAGAGGTCGCTGCTGATGGCATGGATTGAGCTCTCGCTGGCGAAAAGGTGTATCATTGGACACATTCGGGCGAGCCTTAGCCGGCCTTCGGCGCCTGTTCCGAGGAACCTTGGACCGCTCGATATCGCCACGGAGGACAATCAAATCCCAGTCATCCCGACCAAGAGCGAAGTGCTTCTTAAGGGCCATTCGAACTTTCTTCACACTGGCGCACGTAACACAAATCGTCGTTTTGGCACTTTCAGGCGACTCGCCAGTCATAATGAGGTTTACTCCACACGACTCAGAAGACTCCTTCAAAACCTTCTGAAGAAGGCGACTCACTCGAGGCATTATTTGGAAATTCCACTCTTGTAGGTGCTCGTCTGGTATTTCCAAGTGCGGAAGTCTCTTGACGGTCCGTTTTTTGTGTGGCTTTTCAATGAACTTGTCTTCATTCACGACACCCCATGCATCGGTAGGAATTGTGGGAAGTTGTTTGTCGTAATTAGACATCTCGCGCTTCGATGATTTGTATGCCCTGACTTTATCCTCAATGGTGACCGGCTCGGGGGTAGGGACAAGAGCAAGCGGGAGGCAGTCATCCAATTCTTCTGCGGAGGGTGCCGAAAAGATATCAATCCGGCAACATGACCAAAGAATCTTGCAGATTGTGTACATGAAATTCATTGAAAAAGAGAAGGTGCCATCAGGGTCCGACAAGTCGAGTACCGGGTAGTGGTAGATTTGTGGAACACGAAGACCGAGGTCAGTCATCGGCTGTGTCGATAAGTGGAAGTTGGGGGCATCAAGGCACAACTGAACGGCTTGAAGATAAGCACCGCCGCACTTCGGGCCAAGTTTTTTGACATAGAGATCTTCCACTCGATGCTTGAACCATGAACGGTCGTACTTCATCTTCCAAAGTCGTCCAACTGGTGCCCATAGGCCTATCTCTAATAAAATGAGGCCTAGCGAGTAAAGATCATAGGCCCACGCGCCATCATCCTCAACACATCTCTTGTCCTCTGGGTGACGATACATTGCCGAAGATAACGGCTCAGGGGTTGGTCCATCCCCAGAGAACCGTGCCGGAGAAGTAAGATAAGGACGGCGAAGATCAGGTGCAAGACCACTTTCATCATCACTCGTGTCACTACGACCCGGAAAGAAGATAACATTGCTGCTGTTGATGTTTCCATGAACGGCATTTTGGCTTCTCAAGTGGAGAGAGGACATCAAGAGATCGTAAGCCAATCGAAAGCGAGTGTCAAGGTTCGGAACTCGATTCTCCCGATACTCCTCTGCCGAAGGAAGAAGAGCGACCAATGGCTTAGGCTTTAACTCCTTCAACAAGTCACTCGGATTCTGTAGGAATGGGAAGTAGTCAACCGGCATCTGATAAAGGAATGCATAGCGAGAATTCGAGTTATCAATGCAGTAGCCCAAAAATCGCATCAACCCTAAGTGTGAGATCCTGGCGTTCTGTAGCAATTGCTCAATAGACTTTTGGAGCTTTTCCAATCGAGCACTTTTGTTATCCATTTTTGACTCCGCCAATATAGGCATAAACTCGACAAGCACGGAGACATGGGACTCTTTTGTGGAGGTGAGAAGATGCGATGCCGATGACTTCAGGCGTCCAATGGCACGCGAATTGGAAGATGCCGCAACAGGTTCATACGGAGGAGGGCTATTATCGTGGGCCGCACCGTATAGTTGCAGAGCTGAGCGATCAATGAGAAGATGGTTCAGGGGCAGGAAAGGATTAAGAGAGTCACGGTGCGCGGTCGTGGGCGAATAGGTGAATGGATCGAACATTTGCTTCGGGCTTTGTGCTTTCTCCTTGGAATCAGAGAATGAGCCATGAGATGAATCATAAGTTGAGGTGGGATTGGGTCGTGGGCGGCGCGCGCTGTTCCTGCTGGATGACATGCTGGAAGCCATTGTCCGCCGGGAGCGCGAGAGATCATAAAGGGTATCAATACAGCCAGTGAGTTCATTCAAGATCTTGTTTGAGCGAGTTATATCTTCTTCTGTCC